CGTTGTAGTCCGTGGCAGCCGTCAAAGTCAAACCCCTTAACTTATCTCCAAGCCCTAGAAAAAGGAGTTGGTCTCCAGGGCGATAAGAGACAACTGTCACCACATGTATGAACCTGTGTACCACCCACTCTCCGCAGGGTGCAGAAGAGGGTGTGGTTCTCAACCGCGTTTGGCGGTTAACCGCGTTTGGCGGTTGTCCAGCGTTGAGAGATTAACCCTCAAAAGCGCGTGTCAGCCGACACTTGAGTGTCGAACGCGACCCTTGAGATTAACGAGGATCGCATGAGTATGGGTACTACATAGTACGCCATCATTGCGACTGCTTGCGTACGTTTGCATGATTGCGAGTTGATATGAGTTAGCCCTGCATCCGCGCGGTTTTACATCAAGTCTCGCACGCGGCGCCTATCCGATTTCCGCATTGGAAAGTTATGGGATAGACGCCGAAGGGACTAGGAGTGCTGTCGCGTTATTTTTAGTGTATGTGTGTGTTATTTATTTTTGCGTTTTGTAGAGTGGTGTGCGCGTGGCGAGTGGGATACGTCCTAGTCGACCGATGACGGGTCGCGCTTGGGACTTCAGCTCCCCAAGACGTCAGTTCACGTGCGGGTCCGATATAGGCGTATGACCGCGCGTACCCCCTATGCTACAGCGAACGAGAAACGCCCTCGGCTAGTCGACCTCTGCGATTGCAACTGATTAGCTTTCGTACTGTGGACTGGTAGCTCGGCGGGAATACGCCCACCGAAGGGAGGTGACAACTCCCGTAAGGTGGAGGCAAGGTGTGCCTCGCGTAGGCCTTATCATGTCGTAGGGGCTCGCGGGAGGTATGGATGGCGTACTCGGCCGGAGCGGCTTGCGGAAGCTCCATGTATATTCGCGACGAAGGATTAAAACCAACTTCTGCGTGACGCGGACGGGAGGGTCCTGCGCTGCCTTATAAGGTGCCGGACCGATGCGCTCGACATCGGTCTTTGTGTTAGCCAGACCCCCACTGGCGGCCCCAACCCTATACCCTAACCATTAGGGGCAAGGGGCAACATGAAATCTCCCCTTCACAGAGAGAGGAAAACTATGCTTGCAGGGGTCCCCTTTAGAGGGATCTGGGTAGTTCTAGAATTGAGCTTTGTGTATAGTTGTAGGTCTGTGCGTTGGCGTCGAACCGGTGACCTACTCTATGGTTTGTTTGTTTGCCTGTTTGTTTGAAGTTTTGAGAATAACGACTTAGATTAGGATTCCGTGTTTGCGGGTTTGAACTGTGTACGTATGTTACCGCCTGTGCTCGGGAAGGGAGTCCATTTTTGCCTAGAATAAGCTGACCCTTTGGTGTCGAACCGGTGACCTGGTATTTGTCCGGTTACTCGTTCCGCTGTTCTATAGGGCTTGACATGAGTTCAAAGAGCTTGGGGTTTGACTCTGAATATAATGAACTGGCCGACGCCGGTTTGACCCCTTTGTGCCCTTGGCACAATGTTAGCACGTCGGTACGTGGAGGATGGGAATGGGGGCTGACGATGGTGGTGACGTGCTGAAGAGCATGCTTCATGTCGATTGTTTCGTGCTCTACTGAGTTACGGGCGATTGTAATTTGATTTGAAACTCTTCTGGTTCTGTGTTACAACTATCTGTGTACTGTGTCACGATGTTACGTCGTCCTGCGATGTCATGTCGTGAACTTTCATGAATGCTCTCAACAACAAAACCCCGTAACCTACTAGGAGATTGTACCTAGAGAGGGTGGCGGGAACAACAATTCGTTGTGATAGGAATACTAGTGAGTGATACTAGTCGAGGGGACATGGTCTGCGAGAAGGGCGGGTGTCTGTCGTTGGTTTCATGTTACTTGGAGTAGAATTGTGGTACGCTGTGTGGGGGTGAGTAAAACCTCGGGGTTACCGATAGCCGAGCCAGAAAGAAGGATGAGCCAAGGGAGTGAAACGAGTGGGTCAGGGGGACCTCCTCCTCCCCCACCACCTCCACCTCCGGCGATACGGCCAAATCCGATGGCGGGAAAGACCTGCTATCGTTGCCATGAAACGGACCACTTCGCCAACGTTTGTAATGAGTATTGGGCGGCGAGGCGGCAAGGTGTTCGTCCCACCTCCACCTCCACCAGTGGCTGGTCGTGGTAGGCAGGGGAGATCGTTGACACTAAGTACGGAGTATGGTCGTAGCCTGTCTCCAGATAACATCTCGCGGTCAGCACCTGATGACTCGAATGTCGTGATGCGACAGTACTTTCTGGAACTGGCAGTGAAACGACGCGAGGTGAAGGACAGGCAAGCGCGTGAACGCCGTGAAGAGGAGGAACGGAAAACAGAAGCTGAGCGTCGAGAAAATGAGAAGCGACGTTTAGCTAAGTGGGAGGAAAAACGGAGGTATGAGAACGAGAGAGATGAGTGACTACTGCAATTGGTATTCGCGGAAGTGCGACGTGGACAATCTAGGGAAGTACTAGAACCCAATTTGAAGATGAAGCAATCAGCGGCGGTAAACGAACGTGGGAAAACAGCTGCGGAGGAGAAAGAGAGACTAAGACGAGAAATAGCGCTGGCGGAGGCAGAAGAGGAGGACGAAGAGCTGCAACGTCTAAGGAAATGAGCTGCCAATTTGAGGATCACCGAGAAGAGAAAGCGAGGACCCGAAGCGCCGATCGGGAATAGCCCTCCTATGGTAACTCCAACGAAGGGCCAACGCTTGTCTACCGAGGCGAAGCAGCGAATCGAGGAGATCCGCCATAACCAGTCCGGAAAGATGGACTCATCATCGCTATTGGAGCCTGTGCGAAAAGTGTCCCTATCCATGAAACACGTGTCGGCGGGATGTGGACCAGGAGCCCGAGAAAAATATGAAGCCGACTGCACGGAACTTTTCGAGGCTCTGACTGTGGACGAGTTAAAAGAGGCATGCAAGAAGGAGAAGATCGGATATGGGAAGAGGGAGTTAGCAATCAAACGTTTAGTAACAAGACGTGTCCTGCAGGCATACGATCCCATAAACGTGCCCCTACCAGTGACGTCGAGCGGGGCAACAGGGAGTACGAAGACAGGGCAGAAGCCCGGGATGAAGGTAGCATCTGCATCTGACACCAGCGACGATGAAGACGAGGAGAGCGAGTCGGAGTGAGGATGCAGTCCCGTTGAGATTTGGAAGGAAGTACACAATCTACAAGAATCTCGTCTCCGGGACGACGGTAAGAATCTAGAGATTGAAGGTCGATTGCGCGCATTAGTGATAGCGCTGTGAGAAAAGGTTAACCGACCCCCCCTTTTTGCATCAATTTGTAAGAAAACCATAAGGTCATTTTAAACAAACTTCATACCGATGTATAGAGTGCACTTCTTACTAACATATTACAAAAACAAAACAAAAAAACAAAAATTAAAAACATATGAAACAGCAAGCCAAAAGTACATTTTCATGACATTTTGGCAAAAAAAACGTCATCAAATTTTCACAATTTTCACCACTCTTCACAACACAAATTCTAATACTCTAAATGACATCAAATTTGACACATAGAAAGCTTGTCCAAATAAAAAAACAGGCAAAAAAAAAAAATCCAAAAAAATCACAAAAAAACCCTAAATTCAGGATCATTCAGGATCATTCATCGTTACCCAGGGCCGAAAAATGGGGGTCCCCGTTAACCGCTTGTGAGCGTTGTGTATACATGGCGAAATACCGTGGGGAGGGAAATTTGTGGAATATTGGAAGGAGGAAGCATCGAGAGATCGGTTGGACTTGATTAATCCTAGTAACTGTGTATATGTTTTGCTTTCGGCGCGGTTTAAACAGACGTACATAGGAATGACCGAAAGGCCTCTATGCGCAAGATGGAGAGAGCACGTGCTGTGTGGAAAGAAAGGGCCGGGTAAGAGAAGGAGAGTCTTGTATAACTGGTTAGGGAAGGTTGGTTTTCAAGAGTATGTGGCCATACCTCTGTTTTCGAGCAAGGCTAAACGGGATCTAAAGGCAGTTGAACGGACGGTCATTCGGACGTGGTCCCCGTCCCTCAACACGAAGATGAAGAAGAAAACCACTCGGAAACGACGTCGGAGAGGAAAGGAGCGACGAAGATTGCGGGAAGGGAAAATCAAACAACAAGGAGAACGGGAAATGGGAGTTGCCGTGGGCTCAAGATTTCTGGAGATGCGAATGAAAGATGATGCAGTGTCAACTGTGTGTGTGCTTGATCTGTTGAGGAAGGCGATACCAATTAGCAGGAAGAAGAACGTTGAGCTGATAGCCAATGGAGGGACAGTTTGGGTGGACAATTGGAGAATAGTTCGTCGTTTGTTTGGTGAGTCAAGAGTTAAAACTGGGAAGCGGACTAGACCCTTGCGCAAATGTAAGAGACAATTCGAGCATAAGGGACGTGTAGTGGTACGTGATGTTATTGAAGCCTCGCCACGGAATTTAGCCTTAAAAGAGAAGCTCGTGGGAATGTTCAAAAACAGGAGGAAATGGGCGTCACTCGATAAGGAGGACATCGCAGGCCTGGTGAGATATTGTGGGGCAGCGAAACTCTTTTCCACTAAGCGAAATAGATCGAGGGCGAGGAGGATGGTTTCTGATGTGGTTCGAGCGAGGTTCGGTGTGAATGTAAGACGGAGGGTCGTGGTGAAGATACGCTTCAACGAATGAATCAAGAAGAGTGAAGTAGTGGGAGCTGTTCGCGAAAAGATTGGGGCGCTGCCGCTTGAAGTGCAGGTCCGTGAAACGGTGAAGAGACGCTCACGCGTGGTTTGGACTCGTGGTCTGAACGTGGGCGATCTCATCCACAATCACCGTAAACATGCGGTGAATGGTTTAGCTGTGTGCAAATGCCACGACCGAACCTTTCCTAAAGTGAAAGGTCATATCCATTTTCGGTTGTCAACTTGGAGCGGATGTCCACCAATCGCTAGGAATGCGAAGAATGTGCCACGGGAGAGGACTGATGGAACGAAGCAACGTTTAGCGCAGGAGATGAGTGGTGCCTTCCAAACGATTGACTGGCTGGGTTTGTCTCTAGAGAATACCGAATTTTCTGAGCTTGATGTTAGGAGTTGTGTCGATGACTCGAGGTTAGTTGATGGTACTGATATGGCCGAGGTCTTACGTTTGAAACAGGATCTCGACCGGCTGGTCTGTGTCCCTTTGGATAGGAACCCCGGTGACACATTGGTGATGTGTCCGGTCACCTATGTGGAAGTTATGCGTAGCACCTTCGTTTGCAATGAAGGCTACAAGATCATACGGAAGGGGGAGAGACAGGTTCTCCGGGAATGGGGTATGGATTTTCAGCATGTCGACTTCAGGCAACTCGGGAGATGGAAGAATGATGGGAGACTTGGCGCGGCATACGCATTGCCCAAGCATAAGGACACTGAGAAGTATCGGCCGATCTGCCCGGCTTACCAAGAGCCCTCAATTTTGTTGTGCAAGAAGATTGCGCAAGCGATGAATGGCATGTTATTTGGCCTTCCAGCAAGTGGGCACTTCAATCTGAGATCAGTGGGTGAGATGAAGGGGAGACTACATGCATTGAATGTGAAAATGCGGCGAGTGTGCAGTGATGTCCGGATTTTGACGGGTTCGTACGATGTTCAAGATATGTTTAGTAAACTTCCGCATAGTACGATTGAGCGGGCTGTTGAATGGAGTGTGTGGTCGCATAGGTCACGTGGGAGATCCGGGGTGTTTGTGAAAAGAAGAGGGAGGGGATGGAAACTCAGCCGGTGTGATTCCGTTGAGGGATATGCCTTTTTGAGTTTCGATGTGATCCAGCAGTTTGTCTCATTCGAATTGGAACTCTGCTTCACGGTGGCGAGTGGGTACATTGTGCAACAGTTGGTTGGCATACCCATGGGAAAGTCCTCTAGTCCGCCTCTTGCATGCTTGATGTGCTCGAAGGCGGAATGGGACTTTATGATCACATTGGGGAATCAGCGGAGATTGATAGGAGGGTTGCGATTTGTTGACGACGCCTCTGTATTCGTGGCATACAATGCCCGGAAACCCGACTCGAAGGTGCGGGCTGAAGCGATTCTGGCAAAATTTGAGAGGTGCTATGATGAAGCACTGACACTGAAGAAAACAGACACGAGTGAAGGTTGCTGGGAGTTCCTGGGATGTAAACTCAACATGCAGGAGAACTTCCCTTACCTTGGTTGTTGCCAGAAGCTGAAGAATGAAAGGGAATTGAGGATGGGTCTTGAATTGACCTTCCGCACTTTCCAGGACTTTGAGTCATGGACCAGTAAGAAGGCTAAGTTGGCGGTCATAGTCAGCGCGCTGCATCGCATAGATCAGAACTCTATGGAAACCCCTGATATGATCGGTGCTCTGATCCTTCTTCGGATGGAACTACGGAGAAGAAGGTACCCAGACTCTTATTTTGATCGAGCTATTAAGAGTTTTGCTCGTGATAAGAGCAACCTCTGGAAGCTGTTGGCCGAACTTCTGACCAGCGCGCCGGAGTAGATTGGGTTTTGTCTCCGATCTGTTGAGAGGGACCACGAGTCTGATCGCAGAATGTGTAGGAGGCTTGTTTAAGTGGGACCTGGGGATAATCCTAGATTGGATGAGGAAATGTGTATCTAGTTGCTTGTTTGGGCACTCAGTTGTTTAGAGGGACCTGGGTAATTCTAGAAGTGAGCTTTGTGTATAGCTGTCGGTCTGTGTGTTGGCGTCGGATCGGTGACCTACTCTCTGGTTTGTTTGTTTGTTTGCTTGGAGGTTTGAGAATAGGGATTTAGATTAGGATTCCGCGTGTGGGGTTTGAACTGTGTACGTGTGTTTAGAGGGATCTGGGTACTTCTAGAATTGAGCTTTGTGTATAGATGTCGGTCTGTGCGTTGGCGTCGAACCGGTGACCTACTCTATGGTTTGTTTGTTTGCCTGTTTGTTTGGAGTTTTGAGAATAGCGACTTAGATTAGGATTCCGTGTTTGCGGGTTTGAACTGTGTACGTATGTTACCGCCTGTGCTCGGGAAGGGAGTCCGTTTTTGCCTAGAGTAAGCTGACCCTTTGGCGTCGAACCGGTGACCTGGTATTTGCCCGGTTACTCGTTTCGCTGTTCCATAGGGCTTGACATGAGTTCAAAGAGCTTGGGGTTTGACTCTGAATATAATGAACTCGCCGACGTCGGTTTGACCCCTTTGTGCCCTTGGCACAATGTTAGCACGTCGGTACGTGGAGGATGGGAATGGGGGCTGGCGATGGTGGTGACGTGCTGAAGAGCGTGCTTCATGTCGATTGTTTCGTGCTCTACTGAGTTACGGGTGATTGTAGTTTGATTTGGAACTCTTCTGGTTCTGTGTTACAGCTATCTGTGTGCTGTGTCGCGATGTTACGTCGTCCTGCGATGTCATGTCGTGAACTTTCATGAATACTCTCTCCCCTCTAGATAGTCTTAGGAGTAGGTAGTGGAAGGTAAACAAACAGAAGTTGAGAAAAAAATATAGACAATTGTAATCACCCAAAAAAAAAAAAAAAAAAAAAATCATATGCAGTTGTTACACCCCGAGGCCTTGTTACACCCTGGGGCCAAGTACCACTAGGAGCAGCGTTGAGTTTCCTCAACGCTCGAATCTGGACCTTTCCCCCTCTACCCCAACCACTCTCCTTTGCTTCTCACGTGACCCCACTCCTTTCATCCTTATAGTTGGAAGCTTCATCTCTCTTAACCCCCTTTGTACCTCTTGTTCCAAATTCGGGTCCACTTGGTCTTGAAAAAGCGAAGCTGGGTAAAGTTGCCAGTACCGGCCATATTGTGGGGGGCCGGCCCCAATTTCCAATGCGTAATTGAAGGCGTTCTCTTGTTAAAACAAAAAAAAGGCTAATGAGTTTTAAGATAAACAGCCAGACTTTAAAGCCATCTGGAGGGCTTTGAAAAAACTGTCGTCTCAAAGACACGCTGGCATATTGTGGTTGCATGCCATGCAGGCCACATCTTCAGCAGTATGGTTGGAAGGCAAGGGAATGGTAATAAATATTAATTGTCAGAGATGTGATTGGGGCTGGGAAACCAGCACACACCTATGGCTACATTGCCCGTTGGCTGATGAGCTCTGGCGTTGGTGGAAACATCACTGACACAATATCGTCGGGATTCAATGGGAATGGACAAACGAATGGATTTTGCATGCTATTGTAGCATCAGGACCGAGCTCCTTCGATGGGCCAGTTGCTGTGCCTCCCCTCCAGTCCCCTCCCCCTATGAACATGAACTGACATACCGCGAGGACGTGGGCTCCTAGCCCATAGTGTGGACCAACCCCTTGCTGGAGGACAATGCTTTTCCACTCACCTCTTGGACATGATTGCAGTTACATGCATCCCTGGGGTAATGGCTGCATACAATGACGTCAAGTCCAACATTTTTCCACTCACCACTTGGACATGATTGCAGTCACATGCATCCCCGGGGTAATGACTGCATACAATGACGTCAAGTCCACTCCCCGATCCGACAGGCAGATTGTGCCTTGAACGAAGACGCTCCTACGATGGCCGTTCATGCCTTCTCCGTTGTGAAATGACGTCTAAAATAAAAGAAAAGAAAAGAAAAAAGAAAAAACATCACTAGCGCCCGAATCTGGACATTTTTATGAAGATGTGCAGCTGTTGAAACCCAACACAATTTTCTGAGCATCACCACAAAGGTCAATACTTTTTTTTTTTTTTTTTTTTTTGAAAGTAATCAATGTATTTCAAAATTGGATGGAACGAGGCCGGGGACCTCACAATTCGACCCGGAGGAACGGCTGGGGTCTTTACCCAGATTTGGCTAGTGTTGGAAATCGAGTCCAGCGTCCCCTGAACACCCATCCTTTTTTTTTTTTTTTTTTTTTTTTTTTTTTTTTAAAAACGGGGCCAGTGCCCAAGGCTGATATTACTAATGAAAAATATTGAGGTCGGTGTCAGTGCGAATACCCTTACAAGGGTATCCGCCCTGTTTTTTTGCAAGTGGCAGAAAATAGTCTTGGTTTAAAGTTAGGTATTACGCGCTAGGCGCGGCTGCGTCTGTGATCCACGTTGAATGGATGACTGACTAGAGTAAAGAATGCATGGGCACGCAGGTTTAAGGCGCACGTGATTTATCCCCTGATGTTTATTACGAAACCGGCGCGGGGCGCCGGTCTGTTTATTTTTATTTTTATCTTTAAGTTTTATTTTTGGTCGCTCTTGATTGAATCTAGGATCTAGGGGATATTTTCTTTTGATGGCTACGTTTGACCGAGTCGAGCGTGCGTGCGGAGAACGACCCCGACGACGGCATCGACAACGACGGCACAACTTCGTGCGGTGAGTGGGGTGTCGTAGGATGGCGCGCGGGGCAAGTATGGCACAATATAAGCAAGTCGGCGCCGACACTGGGAGCCGCGCGGCTGGTTTGTTGGCCCAAAGCGCGCCATCCTACGACACCCGCGCCAAGAGAGGCAGCGAGGAGGCAACGAGCAGTGGCGACGAGCAGACAAGAGAGGCAGCGGGGAGGTTAGCGTAGTAAGGAGGAAAGCAGCGACGAGGTAGCGGGCGGAAAGACGGGCGTTGGGGCTGTGTAGTGAGCGGACGAGCTATGAGCAACTACGGAGGCGGATGAACCCGGGCGCAATTTCGCGCCAGGTTCATGAGGGAGCCTAACGGGCGATGGCAGGGGCTGAGCGCGGGGGAGAACGCGCCATACTCCCGATCCTGAATGGAAACGGAAGAGGAAAGGAGTAATCCCGAGGTTTTTGCCCCGGGCGAATCACATAGAAGGGTTAGTTTTAGATGGTAGTTAGTAGAATAGGAGGGATAAGGAGAGGGGGCTGCGCCGAGTCATGGCGGAAGTGAGGAAGGAAGGAGATAGAGCATAGCCCACCCCTCGGTGAATGGATTTGGGCAGGGGGAGGAGCGATCCCGGGGTTTTGGCCCCGGGCGAGGCGAATAGAAGGGTCAGATGCGGACGAGAGTGGGTAGAAGAAGAGTAGTAGAGAAGTATGGTGCGCCGGGATATGGCGGGAGGAGTGATGGTGGAGGAGGAAGAAGAAGTGGGTTCCTACCCGATCCGTGACGAAATCGGGGGAACCAAGTGTTGAAACAGGGGTTCTTTGGAAGGGCGAACGCGCTGCTGTTGTTAGATTTGAAGTTAGTTGCGTAGAGTTAGAGTTAAATGGGAAAACCGGTGCGTGGAGCAGTCGGGAAGAAGGGAGGAGAAGCCGACTGAACCCGGCCGGATTAATGCGCCGGGTGCACGCGAATATGGCGGGAATTGAGGATGGAGTTTTCACTCGATTCTTTGTGAAATCGGGTGAAAGAAAGTTGCAGATAGGGGATTTTAGATATTACGAGTCTAATGGGGTTGTTAGTTTGAGTTGTGGATTAGTAGTTTGATCGGGATTAATATCATAGACTGCGCCAAAGGTAGAAGCTATAGTGTTGCTAAGAGGGAGTGAATCCGCCCGCAGTAAGGCGGAAGGTTCATTCCCTGCTTGCGAGAGTCATGAGCAATAGAGGGTGGCTCACAGAACGCGATTGCCTACCTCCCCTTTGAGGCTTGTCGGGATGCGGGCAGGGCCTCTTGATGGTGGTGATCGAACAGTTACTTCAGTACCGGCGGGTTGCTCTTACTTGTAGCCAGGATGGTTCCCGTGCGTTGCCTTTCGCTGCACTCAATCGAATCCGCTCCGTTCTGCTGGTCGCCGTATCCACGTCCGTCCGGGGTGATACCGTTCTGATAATGGGGTCGACTGTGGGCGCTACTCTGTTTGGGATTATGCTCAACCCCGTTAGAATACCTGGCTGTACTTATTTTCGACGCCACGTTCCTACCCTCGGCATTTTGAATCGTCATGGCAATAGAGGGTAGGGCCTAACTGTTTGGCCAAGGGACCTCTACGCTGTACGTGTTCGGACGGACAGACATGGGACAGTGAAGAGAGAAGGGGGAGGATGGCAGATCCGGAGCTCTTCCTTGATTCTATGGGGGGTGGTGCATGACCGCTCATAGTTGGTAGCGTGGTTGGCCCATGAGCATGGGCAGGTCAGAGACCTTCTCGCCGCTGAGCTATGAGGAGTACCGGGGAGGGCACCGTTTCTCTTGGAGGGGGGCCGGTTGTACTGTGGCGGCCTGAGCAGGCCAGTTGGTGCTGCTGGTCGGCGGTATTGAGGGCGCTGCTGTGCCCACGGTGCCCTGTTGTGGGTATGGCTGTGTGGGTTGCCAAACACTAGCTGCGCAACTGTTCTCACCACACTCCCACTGCGTTTTAGTATGCCTGCACACCTCCGTGTTTTGATCGAGGGTGAACATGCGGCACCCACGTAGCCAGACAGGTTGCGGTGTGGCTCTACTATATGGAAGGGGAAAGCTGTGTTTTATGCCCGCGGCCCGTGCCTTGAGCTGAGGCCGAGGCGGTTCGGACCTTAAAGCCTGCGTGTAGCCGAGCTCATTAGGCAGGGGTCTATTGCGGCAAACTGAAGAGTCGTCAAGGAGTCGACGGCCGAAGGGTGACTTCATTTTG